GATGAATGTGATGAATCAGATGGTCGTGACAATTCTAGCGATGAATGTGATGAATCAGATGGTAGTGACAATTCTAGCGATGAATCTGATGAATCAGATGGTAGTGACAATTCTAGCAATGATTAAGATTTATGTGAAGATTTTAAGATTAGCTTAGTGTATTACCACTTTTCAATAATTTTTTTAAAATTGACACTTAAAAAATAATTTCAGTGAAAGATATCCAAGAATGTTTAATACATCGATAGTTGTCTACTGTATTTAGAAACTATTCAATAAGTTTTGTACAACTGAGGTGGAAAATTTTTTTCTGGAATTTAACCTTTCAAAATTGGGTGCACATTATATTCAAGCAAATATGGTAAGTTTCTAATTTTAGTTACTTTGTTAAAAAAGTATTAACAATAATGTATAGATAAAAAACAATAAATTCTGTACTTATATCACAGTTAAAGCCTGTTTCAGTAGTATCTACTTGAGAACATACTTCTATACCCCTAGTTTTTTCCCACTGTTTGATTCTCCACAAAATAATCAATGTTCCTTTTAAATATGCACTAGAATAAAATGATCCAAAAGAATTACAGTTTAACTAGCTTTCTATCCCATCTAGGCAACTGATTTTTTATTTGGTTTGTAAGAATTCTTTCCATGCTTCTGGTATGAGATTGTATGTCCTATGGAATTCATTAGCTGTGGATAGTGACCTGTGAAGACAGTTATACATTACATCCCATCAGCTTTGACACCTTTCTGTCTTCCTGGCAACAGCTACCTATTACTGTCTTTGGGAAATGATGCATTGCAACATGTGGACAACATCTGATACTTTCATTTCCTTATATATATATATATATATATGGTATTACCTTTTCTTTCTCTCTCTGGATTCCGACTGCCTATGACCTCATACTGAAGAAGGAATATTAATTATAACTCTGAATTTATTACATGTATCTACATGAAATGTCACAAGCTTTTAATAAATTGTACAAGTGTTTTGTGCACAAAAAATCTAAATGTCTGGGAATTGACGATGTCAGTCCTACTCAAACTCTGAAAAGTATGAGTGTAAAGTGATATTCATGTGAATAATAAAAATGCTTTTGCCCTTCATAAAGTTTGCATATTGCATTTACATAACTCCTAGAACCTCTGAAGTGTGTATTTATAGTTATTTCAGTATCCATGTATCTTGTATGTACTCTCTTCTACCATAAATATTTGCTAAATCAGCAATGTATTATAAAATGAATAGTTGATAACTCTGACATAATACATAATACCATATTGAATGGTACTTTGTAAGTGGTTGACATATGCATTTTGACCCCATCCATATATGTATGGTTAATGATGTGAGCTCATTTCCTTCTTAATTCATATTCCATATTACCTGGTTGACTATTTATGTGTATGTATATCGGTCAATAAATTTAGTGATTGTCTATATAAAAATTCCCATTCTTATGGCTCAGTTTTCTCTAATGGGACAGTATATTTTTGATGCTTTGTGCCTTTCAAATGCTGAGGATACTTTTATATGCTTCCCTTTGGAAGTAGAATGTTTTGTTTAGAATTGATTTACCCATTGTACTCTTTTTGTTTGGTCGTCATGACTACATGGACTATATGAGCTAATCTATAACTGCAATCTCATTAACCAGAAGTTTTTCTTATGAATTATAATGGGTTTGGCATTTCCTTTCACATCTAGTTTCTAAGACACCATGTGAATTCATGATGGGATGAATGGACTATTTTTTAGAGTGATCATGAGATCTGATCCAATTTTTCCATGATCAAGATACTCTGGAGGCACTTTACAGATTTTGTGTTTGCTTCAGTCATTGCTTCTTTCAGTGTGAGAAGGATGCTTTTTCCTGCTTACTTTTGGATTACACTTCCCTTCCATGTGTGTATTTGAGCTTTTATGCATAAAAAGGTGAGTTAATGAATTTAAATTTAATATTTTAAAAAATAAAATTAAGCTTAAATAGATAGACTGCACTACATGTGCTCATATCTAATTCCATTTCACATTTAGTTAGTATCTGATAGAAGTATGATTTTGAATAGTCATATAGACTAATATCTGAATATGTGCTCACATGAAGAGAAAGGGTATTAGGTGAAGGAAGATTTTATTCTGGATGAGACTTCAAGAATGAGATGATGAAAGTGATAGCATGAGTAAAAGAGTGACAGGAGTTAGTCTTAGCATGATAGTTTGTTAGAGAAATTTATTCTTATAGAAGTGAGGACCTATTTCTAAAAATTATATATAAAATGTGGTTGTATGTACATTACCTGGCTTAGGATGTACAAGACTAATGGTTATATTTGCATTGCTTGATTTAGTGGTACAAGCATGAAGACTATAAGTACTTTGTTCAGAAATTTACATTCTAAACAAATACACATAGACAAATGTGTGTTTATTCATTATATTGTTTACTGTAACAATTTTTGAGTTTTACATAAAGTTTGAGTGATATTTTTATATTTGAATTTCAGTATAATTTTATAATATGTACTTTTAAATAGTTTGAAATAACTTGCGTAGAACATTCTTGAAAATCATTATGCTCAAGTTTTATAATTAAAAATTCTGTAATAGAAAGAAGATATTCAAATTATTGCAGATTTTTTAGCACCTGTGTAACTAAGAAATTATAATATTTTTTAATAAAAATGAAGTGATGTTACTTTTAGGTGACAAAAATACATAAATTTAGCAAGAAAATTTTAAGTGTTCATCAAATATATCTATTTCACCTGTTCTATTTCTTATATTTATATGTAAGTAATGCAATTGTGTATTAGATATTGTGGTATTTTTGTTCCAAGTTCTGCAGGATTTATGATTGTAATGTAGTTATTAATACTATGTTTATTCAAACTAATTAAATTATCTCTGTATCTTTAGGTTAGAGTAAATAAACTAGAAGAAGAGTTGGCACCCATTTGGATACTAACACCCTGTATGCAAACATTATGTTTAAATAGAATAAAGTAATTATAAGTACAGAAACTAATAAAAACTTTTGTATTCTTGTTACAAAGAATTTCAAGACTAGCTAATTCCATTGGTACATTGATAAATACATGGATCAATAGATTTGAAGTTTTAACTAGTTCATTCAAAGAAATTTTCAATTATAAGATTGTATTATGCTGTAAAAAGTTTTGAATATGCAGTTAAACAAAGTTAAGCATAGATATTTAGATGAAGTAAAATTATTAGCTATCAATAAAAAATCCATTTTGGACCTTTGATTTATTTTTATTTAACCTTTTTTGAATAATTTATGTTATTAGTGTACTAATAATGATTTATGAGATTCTTCTGATAAGCAAATTATTATTGAAACTTATAAATTGTACAAGATTTTAACATAAAAACATTTTGATTAAATGACCTAAGTATCATTACCAAAAAATTTTTAAATTGTGACTATAAAATTAATTAATAAAAATTTAGATTAATATGAAATTGAATTAAATGTTATCTTTATATTTGTAGAGTAAAAATACTTGTTTTCATTAAAGCTAAACAAAGACTAACAAAGATTTAAACAACAAATAATTCAATAGATTTATCTTGCCAATTTAAAGATAAAATTAAAGTACTTCAAGGTAGACTTGTTATAACAACAATAAGCAAAACAGGATGTAGTTCTGGTATTATTTGTAAAAAATTCTTGCTTATAATTGCAGTTAATGAGCGAAATTCTACTAGCACCTTTCAATTACAAAGTAGTTGATGAAATTGTAACAAGTATGGCTAAAGTTTTTAAAAAATTCACTTCTAACCCTGTTACATTTTAAGAATTACCTTATTTTTATGTTATTCCCAAACTATATAAAAATCCAGTTTATTTTGGGTTTTATTACTGGTTTGTTCAAATTTGTTATAAAATTATAGGCCATCTTGTTACACAATATTTTGAAAATTTCTCAATTGAAAATAGATATACTGATCATAAATACTTTTTACTCTGTATATTAATTAATAATGAAATATCTTTACAAGATCTAGAAATCTTTATCAAAAAGTCATGGTTCAGTATGCACATTTGATGTTACAGTTTTAAATAGGAAAGTTCCTTTGAATGACTTTGTCAGAGCTTCAAATCTGTTAGTCCATTAATTTATCAATTTACTGTTGTATTCTCAGATTCACTGATTTTCCTTTCAGGTAATAACCACAAATAACAGAAGCAATGGCGCCAGCATATGTATCCAAAGTTTAAACCAAATATGTGGCTTGACTGAGTGGAAAAAAATAATTTGACTATAATGTTAAACAGAGTAAAATCAATCTTCATAAGAATAACTAATAAGTCAAAAGATGAGTGCACAGAACATTGAGCAGTGTTTGTAGATTTCACAATGAGACTTTGGAATTTTCTTTCCTAGTCTTAAGAAATTTTGTGTTGTAGATAGGGAGAGAATATGATATACACATAACAGTAATATCATCCCTTTTAAAACACAGATGCTACCTACATCATTAATTGTCTCAAGTAAAAGTGGCATTTCTAAACTTAAACACTGTGATTTTACCAAAGAAAGCAGATAAAAGATCAGAAGATACATCTCCACCAACATTATCCATCAGAAACATCTGAAAATATCTAAAAAGTCCAAATGCCTTGGCCGAGTATAACTGGTACACAGAATTAGGTCAATACTGCAAAAGACATATTTTCTATGTGGGAAAACCTGTAAGCACTCTAAAAGCATGTGTATTTGAAAATATTGAAAAAATTTTAAACCATTTATTTTCCTGATCAAAGAGAGAAATTAAGGAGGGCTGATCTAGCACATAATTTTCTCTGTTCTTAATATTTATGGACTAGATAAAATTAGAAAGTTTCAGATACGTCAAGAGTGAAAATCTTTTGACAGACTTGTCCACTTCTGATTTAGATTAGTATAATATTTGTGTTATATGTTTAGACAAAATTAATAACATGGCAATAATTATTTTCCAGGTGTAACAACATGTGGGCAGGAAGACTATTTTGCTCAACAGTTGTTTGCTCTTCAAGATAAAAGCTTCTGTTCACTTGAATTTGAAGAGGTTATTGACCAGATAAGAACCAGTGCATCAGAGGTAACTATACTTGGTATTGAATGGCAAAAACTTTTGTTATTATTGAATATGTAGAAACAAGTGCTTTATAGGTAAGTGAATATCATAAAGGAGAGGATTATGGTTGAGAGAAACTTCTGTTTACTTAAACTTGAACTGGTTGTTGACCAGATGAAAACTATTTCTTGAGAAGTAAACACTCATAGTGAAGAAAGGAACATCTATTGATGAATTGTTGTTCACTTGAACTTGAATTGCTTTAGGAGTAAGACTGTACAGTAAAAAAAAAAAATTATATGCTGCAGGGATCACAAAAGATAGTAAAGACTGAAACATAGGTTGTTAAAAGCTATTTTAAACATGAATTTAAACTACTTCGTGATCATTTAAATAACAGTTTTTCAATGATAAGAGATTGGATGAAGCAGAGAGATGTATGTCTTAGGAACTTCTACTGTACAACATAACAGTTTAATTTATTGTTTATGTGTGAATGCATTGCAAAGAATATGAGCATTGGGTAAACAGATGTTTCTACACTTGACAATCATAATTTTGCAGGTCTCTTGTGTTTGCACAAAGAATGGAAATATTTGTGTAGGAATTTCAAAATGTAACATACATTATTCTTTTTGTAATAAGCACAAACTTAGTTGATGAACATTGATATTTAATTCGGATGTAAATTTCCTCAGAACAAAGCATAATTCTCAGTCATACTAGTTGAAACTTTTTAATGTGCAAAAGGATGAAACAAACTGATGACTGGAAATGAAGTTAGTCTCCACAGAGGGTTGGATATGCAAATCTCATGACAACCACAGTTGATATAAAGTTGTGGTGGAATATCATACCAGAAGTACATTTGGACATTGTTTTGCATTTCATATGTAGCGTGATGCCAGTAAAAATTAATTGCTTTTGGAAAGGGTATGTAACAACCCTTTCCTATGCAAAATAATACACTCGGATAATAAAGAAATGTTCAGACCAAGGATTTATAATTTCAAAGATGGAAATATCCCTTGTTCTTAATGGCATTGGAAAACAAAGAGATATGAAGAAATTTGGGGCACCAGAACTAACCAGAAAGAGATTTGTAACAAGTCTTACCTCATTCATGGTAAGCAACATGTGCAGCATCTTTGAACAGGCTAGAGTTCACAAGCACAAAAATCAGTGGCAAATGCATCCAAATGCTGTAGGCAACAGAATGCAACATAATCAAGAAAGATGTCCATCTGGAAAAGTGATCTGAGTAATATATACACAAGTTTCTTTCGTGACATATCCAGGAAAACTGTATGTACCGTACTATCCTTGGGGAAAATGGCAGAACTTCGTGACACTCAGTTAAATGTATATGTACTTGAATGTCATTACCGTACAAAGAAAGAACTATTTGCAGTAGTAGCATTGATTAAGCACTTTTGCCACTTTCTGTATGGCCAGGAATTTACCATATGTGTATATCACATGCCATTAAAATGGCTCTTGAACTTTAGAGAACTAGAAGGTATTATCACATATTGGTTCTGAATGTTGAAGTAGCACAGTTTTGTTGTACAGCATCAACCAAACCAACAGCATGGAAATATAGATAAGTTTTCTCACTGGCAGGCTAGAGCTTGTCCATTTGTAGAATATCTGGATACCAGACATAATTTTGCCTTAAAGCTCAACCATGCCAATGAACCATACAAGTGGTGTGGATTCTACTAATGAATGGATACTAAAAGTATGACCAAGGAAGACTGCAAGAAGAACATCTAAAAGATCCAGACTTAGCTTGGGTCCTGTTTGCTGTACAACATGTAGATGCACAACCCTTATGGTTGGTGAACATTATATAAAAGTATGTAACCTGATGCAGTACCAGGTACAACAGTCAACTCGTGGAGGTAGTTTTACTGGCTGCTTTCTCGTAAGGATGTACAATGATGATGTGAACATTGTGCTTCCTATGTGGCTCAATTCTCCATTCCAGTGAATAGCCCAGGATATTGCCAGACCTTTTCTTAAAACTTGCTATAATACTTGTTACATCCTAGTAGCAATGAATTTACCAAGGCATATGCACTGGTCAATACCATGACTAAAACAGATGGCAACACATTGGCGACAGTGAATAGCTCATTTCAGAGCACCAGGCAAGATTCATATTAATCAAGGAGCAAACTTTAACAATCAACTGTTTGTCAAGTTTTGTAAGGTACTAAGTTTGGTGAAAACCCTTACTTCACCTTATCATTCCCAGTTTGATGTTTGGCCAGTCAGCTCATTCAAATTGTAAATACATGCTTTGCAAATTTGTGAGCTCTGGTATAACTGACTGGGATGATCACCTATCATATGTGATGATGGCATACCATGCAACAGTGCAATTGTCTACCAACTGTTCTCCAATCATGTTAATGTGCAGGCACAAAGTTATGCTGCCATTAAATCGCATGTACAACCCCCAGCTGCAGAATTGCCAGAATGACCACAAGAATACATGGAATGGTTGTGATCCATGTTAGCTGATAAATGATTATTCACTTATCATCAGATGGTAAAAGTGGCTGAAATACAGTAGAGAACATGAAAATAACACAGCAAAAGAACATCAGTTAAAATGAGAAGATTTGGTAGACTGCAGCAGCATGAAAAAACACTCAGTGTTGGTATACAAGACTTGTTTAGTGTAAGAGTTATTATTTATTTAGTTAGTGATTTAATATTTAATAATTATTTAGTTTTCCCAACAAGAATGTTAAAGTTAATTATTTTAAAGGCATTAATTATAACAAATTTCATTTCATAACTCGGTAAGAGTCTTACATTGTGTGTGTGTAGTTCAATTGTTGTAGTATTGTTGATGTCATCAATGGTAGTGGTTGTTAAAATAGTGTAGAGATTACAATCATGCTACTTAATGATGTCAACAGATTGAAAGAGATGAGCATCTTAGGTTAAAAGATAGTGAACTACAAGAGTTTGTTAAACAACAGCAAGAACTAGAGAGAGAAGAGTGGCAACAGAAGAGAGGAGGAGAAACAGAGAAGACTAAAAGAAGAAAATGGGAGAAAGGAGAGACTGGAAAAAGAGAGAATAAGAGCACAAAGAGAGAAAGGAGAAACTAGAAATAGAAAGAATAAGAGCACAAATTGAGATCACAAAGCTCACCCAACAGAAAGAAGAAAGACCCAAGAATGACAATGAAGTCAGGGCCAGCCGACCCAAGCTGCCCAAATTTGATGAACAGTAAGATGAAATGCTTTCCTGGAGAGATATTAAAGATTCACTTAAGGTCAGAACTGAGACAAAGGCAACTGTCTCAGCCCACTTCTCACAGGAAAAGGCCTATAAGTCTATGAAGGCATGACATCAGAAGGTACCATGGACTATGACAAGTTAAAAGTGGCTTTGCTGAAATGCAACGAACATACCGAAGAAGATTTTTGTTGGAAGTTCAGAGAAGTCAAACCTGATGTTGGAGCAACAGTATTTCGGTTTGTGGCACATCTACAGCAATACTTCTCAAGATGGACTGACATGGCTAAGTGTGACAATAGTTTTGAGTGACTGGTAGATCTACTAATACATGAACAGTTATGATCACGTGCTAAATTGACATGTCACTGTTCCTAAAGGAGAGAGTACTAATAGATTGGGAGGAGATGATCAAGCTGACAGAACAGTAAATGGAAGTTCATAGAAGAAGTATAACTTGCAAGTCCAAGAACATCCATTCAAAACCAGTGGTAGCTGACCAGGAGCAAGATTCTACCAAAGGTGACAAGTGGTAAGTAGACAGAAGGGAAATGAGATGCTATGCTTGTTATGAAATGGGGCACACTGCAAGTGAGTACAAGTCCATCACCAATAAGCAACAGCAGAAATCTCAACATATAGCAGCTGGAGCTACCTACAAAGACAGTGATGGTAAGAAACAAGAAAAGAGTGACTGTCACTATGGATGCTGCAGCCAGGAGACACAGAATTGAGAAAACAAGTCAAATTCACCACAAGTAGAAAGTGCCATTTACATGATTGATCAGTGCACGACTAATGGTCAGTTCAAATTAGCAAATGGATCAACAGTGCCAGTAGTGATTGGAGAATGTTACAGATATCGAGAGATTCCAATAACTTACAATATGCCAATAGATGAAGGCTATGTCGGAGACAAGAAAGTGAAGGTTCTGTGAGACACATTGGCTGCAGTAGTGCAGCAGTGAGAATCAGTGTAGCATCTGATAACCAGATGACAGGCAAAGTGAGCCTGTGTGTACTGATTGATAAGACAGTGAGAAAGTTTCTCAAAGCGAAAATAAAGGTGATACTCCATATTATATAGGAGACTTTGAAGCGATATGTATCAAGGTACTAATATACGACTTCACGATTGTAAACATACCACATAGTGGAAATTTGGAGGAACTAGACAGAAAGAAGACTGATGTGGCATCTGCAGTCAGCACTAGATCTCAAAGGAAGAAGATAAAACAAGACATTCAAGCCCTTACAAGTACCAAAGAGTGACATCCCGATTGTAGGTTTATGAGAATGAAAGAAAGCATGAAAGAAAGATTCTTCTCTGCAGAAACTTCGAGACAGTGCCCGAGAGAAAGTCCAGCACAATAGAAAATGAAAAGAGACTTACAAAACAGAGTACCATAAAAGAGTATTGAACCAGACTTATCAAAGCAGTTCGACTGGTGAAGCTAAACCCATCAAAGGAAGTAAGAAGTACTTATATAACAAGAAGGTCCAGAATCGACATTTCAAGGTCAGACAGAAGGTCTTAGTTCTGCTACCTACAGACAACAACAAACTCATCCTGCAGTGAAAAGGTCCTTTTGAAGTACAGGAAGCTATTAACAGAATGTACTATAAAGTGAAGATCTACCATGTCAACAGTTGAAGAGTTACTTTGAGAGGAAAAAAAGACCTAACAGGTACAGCTATTGATGCAAAATTAACATGGCAGGTGTGGCTATTATAGATGTAGAACCAGAAGGCAGTGAATTTACTTGACTGGTGTACAGGTATCTGCTTTTGATATTCTGATCAATATATAAAGATATTTTTATAAATGGTTAATCATGCACTTACTTAAATATCTTTTCAATCAAATTCAACCCAACAGATGGCGCTACATATTGATGAGTAGACACTGACAGTTTCTAAAAGTAAAGTATATACTTTATACTGGTATAACATAAAAAGTAAACAAACAAGAGTATTAAAAGCCATGAATCTTAAAATGAAATGGGGATCCTGCTATAAAAAGTAATGAAACAAGAATTAAAACCACAATCATAAATTTAATCCCTACTTTGGCAGCTTATACACTTATCTGTAGGCCAAAGTAAGGATTACATTTTACAAATTTGTTATTGTGGTTTTAATTCTTGTAAAAGTTATGGCTATCAGTTATGGAATAACCAATGATCCCTACTTTCTATTCAAATTTTAATTTTGTTTCCTTATTTATATAACCAGCAGTGGCATGCAGTCAGGCTATACAAGTCATGTATTGTATGACTTTTCAGAAAACTAAAAATATGATGATAACATTATATAATGAAATGCGTCTTTTTAGCTTTATTATTATTATTAAGTTTTTTATTATTTTACCTTTTGATTATTATATGTTTTTCATCTCATGCTGCTAGAGCTCTACATGTCTGACCTTACACTTCCAGCAGTATCCTGTTTTCTGGAGTGATGTTGCTACTACCTGTTAGTAAAACTGAGCAAGTAATGCTTTGTTAAGATAGGGGGACAGCTAGTGCATGTGTAGAAGTTCAATGCCAACAATGTACAGGTTGCATGCTTTGCTTCATCTTGCTTCACAAAATAAGAAGTCCAGATTGTTTTCATGACAGTGTTATGGAAGAATTTTTAAAGAAAGATTGTTTACTGGATTTCATTTAAAAATAGGATGAGTAAACCTGTTCTCTGTATGTGTTTTTTGTATTCTGGAGGTACATTACACAAATTAGTTATTACTGCATGACCTACTTGAAAAACCACTGCATGCCACTGATAGGTAGCTTTACAACTACCACAAGTGTATTTGTATATGGCCCACGAGCATATAGGGATGGGTAGTGTCTTTGGTATTAAATAGGTTTTTAATTATAAATATTAACTTAAATATTAAACATAGCTTAATTTGTGGATAATATGTCTTGATTATTTTTAATTTAAGATTTGAGTTAAAAATTGTTTTGCCCAGGGAAGGAGTGATAAGAACTGGTGGATACTTTGAGACAATGTGTGGCTCCTTGATAGGTTTCATTGTATTTTGTTTAAAATGTTTGTGTGATACAGTGTAAGAAATTAAGGGGATAGCCATTACTTTGTAATATGGTATCATACATTTCATTATATTTGTCAGGTTTTATAAAGGCCACTATTCTTTACATTCAGTGTCTGTGACTTGTTGGCAATAAATTTCAACAATAAACAGACAGCACACAATCCACTTGTTTTAAAATAATATATTCAAAACAAGACAAACATATGTACAAAAATTTCTTTCATTATTGGTTATCACAGTTGTATCTGGAGCTTTAAATAATTCTCTTTTTTGTCAAAAGTCCACACTGGCTGGTTCAGTTACTTTAGAACCCAATTGACAAAATTAATTATTTCTACTCTCCTCTGTTGTTATGATACAAACTGTTAAACTTTCATTTTAGAAATTGCCCATTATGGCTAAACTGACAATCTCACAGTCTAACTTCAATTTTACTTTCACTAACTTAACTTTTCTCCTCTCTGTATTTGCATGTGTTTATAACATACAACAGAAAAACTTAGAAATGTCTAGCCCTCTAGTAACAACGTTACACATAACAAGAAAAACTTAGAAACTTTGAGTAAGAAGATGTCAGTGATATTACAAAAGCCTAGTACAACTATTAAATTACATACACAATGTACGACTCATACAGAGTTACTTAATGAAACTTGTCATAACTATTGCTTTTAAAATAATTAACTTTTAACACTTGTTATGAAAACTAAATAATTAAATATTAAATCACTAAATGAACTAAATAATAAAGTTTAAAAGTCTTGTATATCTAACAATATTGTTATCCTTTAAATTTGTTCTTTCTAAATTTTTGATTGTATTAAAAATACTATTATCTTAGTAGCTAATAGATAAAACTCATTTTAAAGCATACAGTTGTAGTTAAATGTATGAGGAAGTTCCCATATTTAAAGGTTATACATATATCCATTTGAGTGAAATTATTTTTATGAAATACAAGAGGGATGTATATTATATATATCAGGCCATAAAAGTAATTTTAGACCTGAATTTGTGATTTAACAATGCCTCAGATCAGTTAGTACTCATTTTTTACTTTGGATTGTTGATTACACAGGTCTGCAATTTTAAACTTCATAGAAGCTGTTTTGGTTTTAGTAACAGATATTCCATAATGAAGCTTCACAGATTTCAAAAATAATATTCATTTTTTCCTATCACGTAAGGATTTTTTACAAATCGGTAAGAAAAAAAACTCTAACTTAGATTAAATTATTATTTCGTTTACCACAATGAATATTTTTTATTATTATGTTCCTTAACAAAAATACAAACAAACTGAAGAAAAGGGAAGAACATTGATGTCAAACGAATATGCATCCCCATTCATCCTGATTTTTTTTGTGAAATCTATGCCTTTTAGTCTCAAAACTATGTGTTGTGGTCTTTCTTTTATGTATTGTGTTATGACGTTTTGTGAATAATCTGTACATGATGGAGAAAAATGTGAAATCTATGCTTTTTAGTCTCAAAACTATGTGTTGTGGTCTTTCTTTTATGTATTGTGTTATGACGTTTTGTGAATAATCTGTACATGATGGAGAAAAATGGATATAATTTTCAGATTCAGCTTACAGAAATTATTGTAGAACATGTAAAAATTTCAAGACCATAAACCATTGCAGGCCTGTGTTATTTAACTTGGAGTAGAGTTCAAGACCAGCAAAAAAAACAGTCTGATTTCAATACAACTTTTAAACTGATTTTTGAAACTTCTTTCATGAATTGATATGAAGTATCTATTACAGAAACAATACATCAGAAAAAGATTATTTTAAATAACATTTTCTTAATAGCTCAGATATTTCTATGCTTCCATTGTCTACCTCTTTCTGAAAGATAGATATAAAGTTTTGTAACTGTAGCTGTAAAAATAATATTTCATATAATAAAGTGTAAACTTATCTTCTTCATTATTCCAATACATATTTTGGTGATGTAGCATGTGTGGAAGGTCATTGTGGAACAAGCTAATTTAGTGGTTCACCTTCGAACAGTCAAAGATTTCTACCTTATTGGAAGAGGAGAACTTTTTCAAGCATTTATAGATCAAGCTAACCATTTACTCAGAGTTCCTCCTGGCCCTGCTACTGAGCATGGTGAGTTAAATGTCTTTTATGTATATAGTATTCCGATGCGATACATACTTCTGCCACACAGTAGCTTTTCTTGATCTTCCACTGTCCTCTAACACACTGAAAAGAAATTTTCTCACTTGAAGCACTAACCTCTGTACCCACAAATTCGAGACTCATTTAGCATGCATAGTACATGTGAAAAACCTCCACCAATAGGAGCATGACACACTCTCCTAGAGCAGCTGGCTCCCTCTGTACTACTTTATGTGAACCTCACTTTCTCGATTGGTACCATACAAATCAGCCATATTTCTCGTTGATTTACATTTTCCATAATATTTTTTCTGATCTTTTGAACTTGTTTATATTTGTTCTTTTCTTTGTGAATAAGTTTGCCTTGCCACTTCTTACATTTTGTTGTGTTACAAATTTTAATTACCATTTTCATACAATTTATTGTGAATTATGAATATGCAGTTTACCATGGTTACCACCATAGCTCCAGATGATACTGGTGACACAAAAACTCCTGTTATCAAAGCCTCAGGATCAACATTGTCTGCCAAAGAGGGGCAAGTCTTCGTTTGTCGGGAGTTGGCTTCTTATATTGCACCTGTGCCTTCTTCTCTAAGACGGCTGGTGCCTCTGCTGGCTGATGAGATTGTTTAGGATGATGATGATTTATACAGCCTTTTACCTGCTCCTTCCTTTTCCATGCAGCCATGTCCTGCACCTTTGGAGGATGTTAATCCTTCTACTCTTTTCCTCCAATTAATTACACAGGTTTGTCACATTTTTAATGTTTTTTATGTTTCCTATGATGCCTCTTTTTCCCCTTATGTGTATGATCCCTAACTCGGAATATTTGGTGTTTCCCCTTTCACCTGACACTGAGGTTTATGCACAGCAGTTTTTATGACAGTTAACTTTGTGGGCTAGTATGCCTCAACCTCCTCAAGTTTTTGTCCAACATACTTTAGCATTTCAGTGTATGATCCCTAACTCGGAATATTTGGTGTTTCCCCTTTCACCTGACACTGAGGTTTATGCACAGCAGTTTTTATCACAGTTAACTTTGTGGGCTAGTATGCCTCAACCTCCTCAAGTTTTTGTCCAACATACTTTAGCATTTCATTGCTTTTCAAATCCTTATTTGGTTTCCCAACAATTAGATCTGCTGTTACCCCTCTGGGTTCTAATCCTGAAGCTTCTGTTTCAATTTCGCAGGTGTAATTTTCAAGAATTCTTCTTACAATTACTAACATTTTGCATTACCTCAATGCACCTTTTGTCTGAGGCATTTCGTCATTTTTCAGAGAACTTCAGACCCCCTTCTGTTGTCGATTTTGGCGAGGCTCTCTTTATCATCCCTTTCCTTACTTACTTGGCTCCTTTGTTGGGACTTGCTAGGAAGAGATGCATTGCTTGCAAGAGGAACTTAAGGATGGGTTCATTTTTGTTTGACACAGTTTTTGGGGCCTTCCAAAATCTTTAGAGTCCTGTGTTGACGTGCCAGGTACATACTTCCCTATCTTCCCTTACTAATCATTTATCATAACCTTCCCCTCCTCAGCTCCTGATTCTATTCCTGTTTTCCATCCTCCCACTTCCTTGCTCATCCTTGACCTGCATATCAATGTTGTCGTCTTTGTCCCATTTTTCCCTTGCCCATCAAGAACTTCGACAATGGTATAGGTGACTACACAGTGGAGTCACGTCCTATGGGGGCCAGGCTCCATCATTCTGTTGACATTTGAGATATCTTCATTACTGATCTGTGAATTCTGCTGGTTTTTGTCAGAGGGTTTCTGCCTTCAATTCTGGTCACCACCTCCTCTTTCATTGTCTCTGGTTCCTTTCCTTCTTCCAAGGGATCCTGTCTCAAATGATCATCTGTCTGAGACAGTGAAAGATCTTCTTCTCAAGGAAGTGATTGAGCTGATGTTTCCCATTCAGCCAGGTTTTTACTCTCAGCTTTTTACTTTCCCCTCAGAAAACGGGGATTGGAAACCTGTTATCGACCTCTTCTATATATCTATCTATCTATCTATCTATCTATATATATATATATATATATATGTGTATATGGAGTCATTTCTGTCCCTTTATTGGTTTTTCACTCCAGGTTTTGGGTGACCAAGTTCGATATAGCAGATGCGTATCTTCATGTTCCAATCTCTATCCTCACATCGTTTTCTTTGGTGTGTCCACAAGGGGTATGTTTTCCAGTTCTGGGCTCTGCTGTTTAGGCTTGTCTTGGCTCCTTACATGTTTTCTCAAGTAGTCAAGACCTTTGCTCGACATCTCCATTCATTAGGACTTCGGTCTCATCATAATATGGACGACTTGCTTCTTCGAATGTCTTCCAACCACACATGTTTGCTCTTAGAGGAAACAGCTCATGTGGGATGGTTTATCAAAGTGGAGAAATTAGTCCTTTTCGCTACACAGTACCTAATTTATTTGGGAGTTTTCTTCAATTCCCACCTCAGTCAGGCCAAGACTTCTCCACTACATCTTCAGGATATGGAGCAGTTGGTCATCAAGGTCTTATCTTCTAATTTTCTTCCAGCCCCATTGGTTCTATCTCTTTTGGGGTTGTGGGCTTCCTTGGAAGCTCTTATACCCCTCAGTTATGCTCACATGCAGTCCCTTCAGTGGGAATTACTCAATAGATGAACTTCAGATTGGATCCCTTGGATCAACTGGTTATTCTTTCTTCTTACCTTTGGACCAACCTTGCTTGGTGGTTAGACAGAGAAAATACTCTGACTGGTTTCGTCCTCGTCTAGACCTGCACCTTTTTACCAATGCTTCTCTTGTGGCTTGGAGTTCATATCTCAATTCTCAGATTTCCGGGAGTTGGTCATTGGCTGAATCTGGGCTTTGTGTCATTTTGGAGCTCTTAGCTATTCATCAAGCTATGCCCCCCAATGGCACAGTGGTATCTGCGGACTTATAATGCTAGAAACTGGGTTTTGATACCCGTGGTGAGCAGAGCACAGACAGCCCATTGTGTAGCTTTGGGCTTTACTACATACAAACAAACAAATCATCGAGCAATGTCTCATTTCTTCCATCTTCTGTGGGGAAGGTGGTTAGGGTACTATCCACAGTGGTCTCATACATTAACAAGCAAGGGGGTACCAAATCCAGGTCCCTTTTTTTTTTTGCACTCTGGAAATCCTCGTCTGGCCTCATGAGCACCAGATATATCTCTTGGCTTGCCATTTTTTCGGTGCTTTGAGTCATAGTGTGGATTGGTTATCATGTCTGCACAAGGTCATTCCCACTGAGTGGTCCCTTGATCCTAAAATTTTCCAATGGTTATGCTCTCGTCTAGGAACCTCACATATAGGGACATTTTCCACCCATCTAAACAACAAACTAAAATCTTTCTGGTCTCCAGTTCTTCACTCTTAGGCTTTAGGGGTAGATCCTTCAGTCAGGAGTGAAGGGGCCTTGACATTTATGCCTTCCCACAGATACATCTCCTCCCCAAAATACTCTTCCTCATCAGCTCCACTCTGTGTCTAGTTCTCTTGGTGGCTCCATTTTGGTTGGCTCAGCCTTGGTTCCCTCTCCTGAAGCCTCTACAGTTGTCATCACCTCTGCCCTACCCTATGTCTCCTCTTCTTTCTCAATCTCATTTGAGTGTCTTACATCTTGCCATTCCCACCCTCTGGCTTCATGCATTGGCTTTTGTCAGGTCCCTTGTAAAAAGACAGGGTCTGACACTGTGTGTTATTTCTCTACTTTCCATTTCAGTCCAACCTTCCACATTGTCAGTTTACCTATGATATTTGACTACTTGGTCCAACATGGTTTCTGCCCCTTCTGTCCTTCCTTTCCTCACCCTTCCCAGTTCTTCAGCTGGCTGTTCAAGCAGAATCTTTTTGTTTTGACAGTTTCTGGATATAGTGCTGCCTTGTTGAACACATTTTGTTTTACCAGATTCTGCCAAGTCTTCTCCTCTCTCATCCATTTTGTCCTGTTCTGGTCCTTTCATGTTCTTTATCCTCACCATGCTTTTCCTGTGTCTGATTAGGGGATCTTAATGTCATCCTTTTTGCCTTTTTCCAACCTTCCTTTGAACTTTTGGCTTCATGTTCCATGTATCATTTTCCCATCAAGACCTATTTCCTTCTCCTTCTGGCCATCATAGGTGTAACCTTTTTGTGACAGATGTTTTCTGTACCCTTTATAATAGTACATATATTGTGCTATAACCTGGACTGTTCCTTCCTTCCCAAGACCTCAGCTGTATGTGAGGGTGATTCTACCTTTGCACCTATCTCCATCCCTTCCATTCCCCATATTTATTTCAGGTCAATTCTAGATCACCTTCTGTCTTGTGCAAACTCTGTGGTGCTATGTGGCTTGTATGACTTTCTTTCATGATAACTGTTTGTTTATTCCCTGGAATCCTTCAGTGTCATGTGACCTCTTCCCATCACCCATATGGTTTAGGTTCATCAACTTATTAGGCTGGCTTACTATTCCCTCTCCTTGGAATGATGTAATCTTTATTGTGTCTCAGAATGGAAATATCAGCATGTCTCTAGCAGCTCGTTTTCATCATTCTATGAAGGAGATAATTTAGGCTGGAATGTGGACTACTCCCTGTATCTTTATCACTCATTACTTACACCATCTGGCTGTGTCCTTCTCAGGTGGATTTTGTTTACCTCCTCTGGTGATTTTACAAGCACCTGGTTTGACTGTAATGTGTATGTCTTTTTCTGTTATGTTTCTTTCAGGGACTTCCTTTTGCTTTGTTATATATTTGGATTCCACTCAGTGGCTAGTGTTACCTGGTCAGGTATGTTTTCCTATAAACCTGAACCGAATGCCTTTAAGGTTATAATGCACACTGATGAGAGGGGGTGGTTCCACAAGATCACCAGTGGGTTACCTAGTGGGGTGTGTGTGTGTGTGTGTGTGTGTGTATATATATATATATATATATATATATATATAGTATGTACTACACTACTAATAGTATTATTAACTTATAGTAA